ACGGGCGACTTTACTCGTTTCCGATGGGATCGTCGCCTACAATTTCGCGTTTTGCCGCAAGTGACGTCAAAGGCGGACAAGTTGCCACTGGAAACGGAGCCAGTTGCCCTTGACAACAACACAATTTGAAGTTGAAACCTGGTCACCAAACCACCATCGCACCTTACGCAACTGATAATCGTAGAACAGTACTACGCGAACAAAAATGCATGAAGGCAACGTAGCATACATACCTTCTTTCCGCTTTTCGTGTGAGACTCCTTGTAAGCAAAGTCACACACAATAAAAGCCAGTAGATATGTGCTCATCTTGAGACTCTCTTCGAAGTGGCTCTCCACGAAGCCGTCATCAGGACGAGTCACGACCCGCTCCACCGGCATGTTGGAGAGAGCTTTGTACTCCTTCTGGTGCACCAAGGTCACAATAAACTTCGATTTAAACTCAGGTTCGTCGAAACAAGGGAACGCAGCTCGGGCATCTGTGGCTTCAAACTGTGTTGTTGCCATGTACCTTTAAAAAGTCATTAAATTAATTATAATTATAATTTACTGTTTTTAAGTGGTTATACTCGCGATTCAAACGCTTGTACCAACATCAACAAGCATTACGAGGGAACTATTTTAAGTTACGAGGGGTTCACGTTTGGGTCACGCACGCGAGCGACGAATCCCCAAGAGAGACCGAGTCGGTGAGCGAAGTGAGCCGGAAAGACACGAGGAAGCTTCGCCAGTCGCGCGTGTGATCCAAACTTGGCCCTACAGGCAGGATATTTATAGTTTATATTAGTCAGAAAGTTTGAGCCGCGGAGTATTTTGGAACATTTGATCTCATGTTTGAGCCCACTGCCTAGGGAGAACGGCAATATTGGTCTCTTTCTGAGGATTTATTCACGACTTCTGGCGCACATCCTTGACATGCGAGCCCTCAGGAGTACGGTCAAGGACCGGGGGAGATAAGTAAATGGAAATCTACTTCTGACATTTTACTATACATAACCTAAGCCTAGGTAATTTTGTTTTTGCAGATAATAAGTATCTAAAACAAAGTGTTAAACACAGACATGATCACTAACCCTGAAAACAAGCACTAAACGAAAAAAATACACCTGATTGGCTACCATGAATTTCTTCTAAAGATAATTAGGGAGAAACTCATTTAAGATCAAGAAAAGCTGATTTAGCGATTAATTTATTTATTCTTATAACCTAACTATTGATTTTGTGCTCACTTTTGAGGAAATTTAGATCTTGATCAGTGTTATCAGTGTTGGGTTACGGGTTAAGAAACGTTTACCTTATTTCTCCACTCTTTGTCTTGTATGAACTCTTGTAAAAGCCCGTCATTGTATTTGACAGATGGCCATTAAACTGAAACTTTACCGTATATTTTTCTCCCTGTGTTAGTTCATCTCTCAGCTCAACCAAATATTGCTCCAGTTTCTTGCTCTCTGCTACTCGCAAAACAGGAAGGTGATTTCCCTTGGAGTCCTCGATACCGTAACTTGTGATGTTTAAGTGTTTAACATGAAGGAGGACATTTCTCGTTGGCTTCTCGACGGTGACATCAATCTTAACTCCTCCGTGGAAATCAAAGGTCGTTAAGTTTGGATGAAGGTAAACTTGGTATCTCTCTGGTTTGATATCCTTGGGTAGCAAAATATTCTTGCGGGGGAAGTTCTTCTCGCTGTCTGCCGAACGGGTGAATCGATCCCTTGTGATGTAGTCAACCGCGCGACGGTAGAATTCAATTTCGCTGTCAGAGGCGTGGACAAATGCGGAGAAAATGAAGAGGACAATTGCTCCGAGGGCGATAGTTAGTGTTAAAAAGATCGCACACAGCTTGCCATTACACATTCTGCTTCCCTGGTAGCTGACGCGGGACTTTGAGTTAGAAGACAATGATTCGCTGCCATCTTCAACCGGCGCCGCCCTGTAACCTCGCTCGCGCATTGCGAATTCAATTTATTTTCAAGCTGTTACGATCTTTGCTTTTCCAGGTAACTTTTTCACGTTTACTCCCGTCTTGGTCCTTAGAACGACCCTGCTTATGGGTTCTGTGGTTAGAAAACAGTATTTATACTAATAAGATCATGCTGTTATTTTAAGAGTTGGGTTTGAAATATTTACAAAGATTCTCAAACAGCCATAGTGATGCAAGCGAGGCTCTAACCAATAGGAACGTCATCCGACTGAAAGAGATCAAAACCCAGCGGTGAAATTAATCACTCATCTATGGATGGGTTGTGTTTTTTACTTACCTTTGGTAACAAATAATTTTCAGGTTATTCAGTTCTTTTGTTTCTGTTTTGATGATGGAGGAAAAAAAACGCCAAATCCCCTGAAGTGATTTGACAAGGTCAATACACTGAAATCAAACAAGTGGCAGGTTACTGCTGGTGGAGGTGTGACCGTTTCACGCTTCATTTCACAAAGCTCACTGATTACAACCGCTGGGAAAATGTACGCATACCTGAAAAAAACATTAGGCTGAACAGAAAACTGAACTAATCTTGCTTCCAGGGCTTTTGCTTCTATCGATCCTTGATCAGTGTGGCCACGAAGGCTCTGGGGACGAATTTGGGTGAAGTTACCGGTCAGCCATCGTTTCTTACAGCGCATGCCTGCGTTAGCAAGTCAAATATTCGCTAATCGAGTGAAACGAAGACTGTATATGCGTTTTGAGTTGAGGGATGCTTTTGAGAAACATTCCGGCATTAATTTGCCTCTAATATAATCATTAAGTCGATACAAAACTACAAATACGTTAATGCTTATTCTTTAGAAACAAAGAAACAATTTTGAACGCTTACTTATAACATCAAAGAATATGAAATTTTCTTTCTAGTTTCCATTAAGTTAAGGAAATTTCGTGTAAATATTTCTCACTTTTTCAAGCACGTCGACTAGAGTTACCAATTTCTATAAAAAATATGAAATAACATTTTCAAAGAATAACAAATAACATTTTCAAAACTTGCTTTCAAAGAATAAACCCGCTTTAGTTTCATTTTGAGAATCAAACCCTTTTTAATCTTTTTAATAAAGTTGCCACTTTACGCGGGAGAGGGTAAGAAACGCGACAAAATTCAACAATTTCTTTACTCTGTTTCGAGATCAATGGGAAAAATTTTACAAATGGCCACTTAGATTCATGCATACCTAAATTAAGTATCAACCAGAAAATTAGTTCAAGAATTACGTATGAAACCAGGACCGCAGCTAGCATAAGGTAAACCAAGGGACTTGCCTCTGTCATTTTTTTTTTTTTTTCGTTTTTGTTGGTTTTCTAAATATCTATGAAGAGAATTAAACCATGGACTTTGTCTCAGCCATGATTTTTATTCTGGCTATGGTCCTGATTATCACATTAGGCTCCTTCAAACATTTGAGACCTAGTTTTTTCTCTCAGTCTGCTGAGACATGACCTGTTAATTAACTGAAACACCTGTTGCTCAAGCTCGACGCACGGTTGACAAACTTCAAAACAAATTTATCAACAGGATATTGGACTGCTCTCTTTTCATGGCGGTCTCCCGACTCTGTCCTCTCGCGTTCGCGTTTAGCGTCGCCATAATCATCGCCGTTTCCACCGTTTACACGTTTATCAGTGGCTACAGCGAAGATCTGGTTTTTAAATTGAAACGAAGTCGAGGACATTCAAAAAGACAGTCGAGACTCGACAAGAAAATGGCATTCCCGTATCAAAATATTCGTATTCCAAATCATGTTCGTCCATTGTCTTACGACATTTACATTCACCCAAATTTAACGACCTTTAAGTTTTATGGCAGGGTTATAATCGAATTACGGTGCTACCAACCCACGAGGAACGTAATATTTCATGTGCGTGACCTTCGTGTTGCAAATGTAAAGCTCACGGATTCAAGACAAAAACGTTTGAAAATCGCGCGAACAGTGCAATACAAGAAAAACCAACAACATTTGATTGCTGTGAATGAAGAGCTCAGAGAAAAGGAAAGATATGCACTTTATATGGAATTTAATGGAACGTTATCTAAAAACATGGAGGGATTTTACAGAAGCAGCTACAAGACAAAGACAGGACAAGCCAGGTTAGAGTTAGCAAGTTAATCCAGTAACCATCTTTGATTTTTAATTGGACTATTCTTACTGCGACCTGAAAAGAAGGTGGATAGTTCTGATAAGTTTAAACAACTGGACTGCAAACTTGAGGATTCTCTCGCTTTAGAAACTGACCATGGGTAACTAGGGTTACAGTTTAATGCGACTCCATGCGTGTCATTGGTTAAGCCATTGTTAACAACTAGACATGATTTGTCAAAGTTCGCGCTCTTTTTACGATTGTGTCTTTCGAATATCCATAACTTTCAAACAACAAAATATTAATCAGTCTGAAGATGCTAAACTTAGTCCCTTGCTTTACAAGGGATACTTAACCCGACTACGCCGAGCAATAACTAGGTTTTATTTGCTCCTTAAAAAACGTAAGCTCGCGGTTCATTTATTAGATAGCGCAATCCAGCCATCCACTATCGACATAATCTCAATTGTTGTAGATTGTAAACATCAAGAATAATTAACTTGTTCCTGTATTTTCAGGTACCTAGCTACAACTCAATTTGAAGCCACAAATGCGCGTTCTGCCTTTCCATGTTTTGACGAGCCTTCGTTCAAGGCGGTTTTCCACATTACAGTAGTACATGACGTCAATCACAAAGCGCTGTCCAACATGCCGCTGGAGTCACGTGACAGAAGGAATGACGGTCTTTTGGAAAGTCGCTTCTCTCCAAGTGTTCCCATGCCAACATATCTTGTGGCGTTTATTGTATGTGACTTTAGGTACAAAGAGACCAATACAAAGAGCAACAAGAAGGTGGGCTTGTTGAAAGCTTAGTCACGTTTTGCACACACAACTTAACTAATGCCATTTTAACTTATCACAACTTAACTTATGCTATTTTAAGGTGATGAAACATGCGAAATAATCATACATGCGAACTACATACAGTCCCCTGCCACTTTAAAAGCAAAGACTGGTACATTTAACACTGTCATGTTGCTAACAAAAAGAGATTTTAGAACGGGAAGAATCTTAAGCTAAGTGAATCACCTATTGCTAGTAGCCTTATGTACATCTTTTATTTATGTCCTAGATAAGGGTGTGGTCCAAACCTGACGCAATCGACAGCGTGGACTTAGCTCTGAATGTGGCCAAGCGCACTCTGGAATATTATGAGGATTTTTTCAAGGTCTCGTATCCACTGCCTAAACTCGGTAGGTAGGACTTAGTAGCATTTCTCAGCTTTGACAATCATCATCAAGGTTAAAAAAAATACAAAATAATCCCATAATGATGTAGAAAGAAATGATCACTTTGGTCTGATGGCAGTACACCAGACCCTGCGCTCAAAGATCTGGATGTTTTTCTGCTTTTTGTTTAATTAAGACTCATGTTGCCTCTCTACCGGAAACCTTTTGGAGGCAAAGATGATAGGTCAGGATCGTCTGCGATAGACAGACATCCCAATTGGAGGGAGCATTGTGTTAACTGCATCGACCACTTGATTTGTAGTCATCAGAAACATTCAATCTATCTATGGAGGAATACATCTGCGTAAGCTGTTGCGCTGCCTCGGCGATGAAGTGTCTTCCTCCTTTTTTGATATGCAAACCTTCTTTGATGTTTGATTTTGCTGTCACTACTCTCCATGAAGTAACCGACCAAAATTTGCAATTGAAACCTAAGAGCATTCTGTTTTCCAGATCTCATCGCAATTCCTGACATGGGCGGGGCAATGGAAAACTGGGGACTAGTGACGTTTCGTGAGTCTGCTGTACTCTTTGACTCGAGCACCGGAAGCGTAGCTGACAAGAAACTGGTGACGATGATTGTAGATCACGAGCTTGCCCACCAAGTAAGATTAAGGTCGACGTAAATGCAATCTCATCGGGCGTTCTACCATCCATGAGCCCCAGTAATATTTGTCGCGTACATTACTTACAAATATTTCGGATGCTTAATTTTCGGATACTTTTTCTGTCGTTTCGGACAACAATTTCGGACACTTTGGTGAAATGTAACRTAAGTAAATCTACGRCTACAAAACACGAATTAGACTAATGCAAAATCTGTGAAATTGATGGTTTTACTGCAGCCGCAAGGTCTTACGAATACACCAACGAGAAAATAACACAAGTTCTATCAAGCCTTTGCGTATGTTTAGCAGTGTCTCAACTAGAGTCGGCTCCATAAAGCCCAGTATAAAGGAAACTAAAGCTTTGAAGCTACTTGAATGTTTTATACTGTACTGTAAATGTTTCGGACGCTTAAAATTTCGGACGATTTTCTTTTCAGACACTTTTTTGTCCGAAATAAATATCGTCCGAATTTTTTTCTGGAAGTAATGTAATCGGCCCTGTGAGACCTTTGACACTGCGTGGTGTTAAGCTTCATAAGTAAAGATTTCTTCCTAAGGCGCTACGTCACCATTAACGGATGGACGTGATCGCAGGAAGCAGTAAGAAACATACAATTAACATCTAATTCCAGTTGTTTGTGGAGCCTTAGCGTTTTTTTTTAAATAATAATAATAATTTAAGGGTTTCCTCGTTTTTTTTTTTTTTGCAGTGGTTTGGTAACTTAGTAACAATGAAATGGTGGAACGATCTGTGGCTGAATGAAGGATTTGCAGTGTACATGGAATACCTAGCCACCGATAACTACAACCCCAAATGGAAAAGGGTGAGAAATTAAAATTTGATGGCCTTGTCCTATTTAGACTATGAGTAGTCCCTCTTTACTTTGTCGGTCGTGCGTGACGCGAAAGAAAACCACGATAAAACAAATGGCCGCGCGAAATCCTGGAGGCCGCGCTCGACGGACTAAGCAAAAGAGGGACTACTCGTAGTGTATGTCCTATCTCGTAAGTGGTAATTTTTTAAGGTCACAGTCTAGACATCTAAAATGAAAAATTTTCTTCTTTCTCTTACAGGAGGATCAATTTATATTGGATACTATGAGAGAAGCGCTGGACGTTGACAGCTCAATTCACACACATCCAGTGTCGGTTAAGGTTCGCAATCCAGCAGAAATCAACGAGATAGTGGATACGATAACATATCATAAGGTAAATTCTTCATAACACTATTGAGGGCTGTCACAGTTCTAGGCTTCGTATATATGTTTATCTATAACTTTATAGATACAATTTCAGTTAATTTCTCAGCTATTAACAAAGTTAAGTGTGCAGATCTCAACTTTCAGTTAAAAACGCATAATTTCAAAGCTGACAATTTAAATTTGACCAATTCTCAGCTATCACTTCAAATCTTGAAGATTCAATATTTGGCAGACCAAACTTTGAATTTCCAAATGTTAAATAATCAATATTTTGCAGGTCAGATCTTGAATTTCCAAGTCTTGAATATTCAATATTTGGCAGACTAAATCTTGAATTTCCAATGGCAAATATGTACACAGGTTAACTTGTGGCTCTCAATTACGATGCCAATGTTTGCGAAGGAAAAGTTCGATTTCGTCAGGAAAAACACTATTTTTTTCCTTTTATTACAAAATGATAAAAAATTGTCTTTGTGTCCACAGAGTTCTGCAGTTATAAGAATGATGCAAAATTTCCTTGGAGTTGAGACATTTAGAAAAGGAATTCAGGTATTAATTAGCAGATTAAAAATTTTGTGGCAAACTAGCGTTTACGCTTGCAGCCTGACTCCTATTTTCTTTGTGACTCAGATTTACTTGAAGAAACATCGATTTTCAAATGCCAAGGCCTCGGATCTTTGGGAAACAATGAATAAGGTAAGCATTTAGCAATGGTAACGGCGTATATGTGGGTTGAATGAGGGTTCTTGAATCTCAGCTATAAGTTAATTTCTCTGCTGTTAGCATAGTTAAGTGTGCAGATCTAAACTTTCAGTTTAAAAACGCATCATTTCAAAGCTTGCAATTTAAATTTGACCAATTCTCAGCTATAATTTCAATACCACCCAGGCCCTCTAATATCTACTTTGACAGACAGACAGACTGACAGACTGATTGACTGAAAAGACGGACTGAAAAGACAGACATTGTTAATGTTTTGAAGTGATATCATGAAAGATGAATTTAAAACTGAAAGTCAAAAGTAAGAAAACAAGACTACAAAGTTACAAAACTGAAATCTTAATTCATGCTGATCCTGAATTTACTTAAGCGAGCTTTGAAATCCGAGTTCAAACGTTTAGCTTTTTTGCATGTTTTGGTATTGATTAACAGGCATCAGGAAATTTTGTGGACGTTACAAAAATCATGGACTCGTGGGTCACACAGAAAGGATTTCCTGTTATATCAATTTCAAGTGATAAAATTCAGAGGAAAGATGGCAGTTTGTCCTACAGGGCAAGTCAGAAAAGATTCTTTAGAGATTTTACCTCGACACACTTAAAGGATGGGAATGCAAAGGGGTAAGTTAATTACTAAAATTACTCGCTCGATGATCTCTGTTTCATGTATTGCCTTTCTAATTGTGAACAGGCTCATGGAACGAAATCTTCCTATCCCCTAATACCTGCCCGATTTAAAGTTAAGTCATGATACTGATGTATACTCAAACCGAATGTTATGTTTAAAAGACTAAAGATTGCTCTGTAAAAGAAGGGAAGAAAAAAAGGAAAAGCGGCGAACACTGTGATGTAAAATCAAAGCTAAAGGTTCACTTGATAGCTGTTTGAGTGCCTCATGTTATCAACAACATTAGCGGGCTTTAACGTGATATTTTGGCAGACTGCTATTTAAACATGATAATGTTTCACCTGTAATACATAACAATAGCCTCCGTTTGGCGCGAAAAAATATAAGAATAGCCTCTATTTGGCGCGGAAATATGCTCGGATATTTGTTCGCGGGCGTTATCTGTTCAGAGAAGTGAACAGTTTTCCCAGAGCGAAACTCGAGGAAAACTGCGACCTTTAGGGACCAGGTAATGTCTAAGGTTAAATATCCGAGCATATTTTCATCCCAAATGGAGGCTATTGTGTTTATTATTCTTCAAATATTTTTCGCAACACACGCCGTTTTGAAAATTGAGGGAATATCACTAGAAAACTCCCCAGTTTGCTGGGTATTACTAGGTCGCGTGACGCGTCTAGACAAATTGCGCGCGAGCGAAAATATTTGATGGATTAGAATGACCAGTACTTCCCTAACAGAACATTTCAACTTTATTTATCTTTAGGTGGATTTAATAAAGGAAGTGAAATTTTTTTTTTTTTTTTTTTGCATTTAAATCTTTGTAACAGGTCTATTTTTTTCTATTTTCTTCCTTATTCCAGACATGGATGGTATGTTCCGCTGACTTACATTACTGAAACCTCACTTAGTAGTATGAAAACTGTGTGGATGAACAAGTCTTCAGGTATAGACCTTAACAAACCAACTAAGCCTTTTACCTCAAAAGAAATTATTCAATTGCAGCCTGTCGATTAGCTCACACGAAAACCCTTGCTTCTCCGACGTTTACGCCTATAATGGGCCATTTCCGCGTTAGCTTGTGCCTCTGTTTCAAAACGAGTCCTCATTGACAATGGGTTTGATTTACATGAAAATGAACCTTTAGGCGGAACATATTTTTAAATAATGGTTTCGCATGGAGACTCGGCAAAGCCAACTCGGAAATTTCCTTTTAGATTCGCAAAGCACAACGACATATCCTAACCAACCGTGTCTTGCAGGTCAGTGACCATAACTGCGGGTACTTTTAATCTCTAGTTACATTTCAGCTTCCCGGCAGTCTCTCTGGCTGGTTTAAGGCCAATGTTGGACAAACTGGTTTCTATCGAGTCAACTATGAAGAAGAGAACTGGAAACGACTGAGCCAGCAATTACTTCATAATCACACGGTAAGCCGCTGACCTCAAAGGTCAAAACAAAGAGAACGTTTGTGTTTACCTTTTCTTTCAAGCGTAGTAAACACCAGTGGTCGATCCGGCTCGGTATAAGTGAGAAATTATTGTTAAAAGGAAATTTCAGAAGGAAGATCGAAGAGCTAAAATCAGTTAAAATCAGTCAAGTCAATGATAAAACCTCATAAAGAGCAAGTTGGAAAAAATGATTTCTCTATTTTTTGTCTCTAAAGGTGCTGAGTCCATCAGATAGAAGTGGATTAATTGACGATGCATTGAGCATGGCAAGGTAATAACCCAGTCAAACGAGCTAATTGAGAATGCGCGAGTGTTCACATCATTGTAACTGTTGAACGACAGCTCCGACGACAGGAAAATCTGAGAATTTTCAAGTTATGATAGTGGCAGTTTGAAATTTCTTCCACTCTCGTCGACGTCTTTTAAAACTCTGAAAAGCGACAGAAAAAACAACTTCCAAACGACCCACGACGTAGTGAAGGGCCAATTTCAACTGGTGTATTGGCTATTATCGATCAAATTAATTACAAACCATGCAGCCTTATGGGCCCAAGACGCGAAAAAGATTGAGTGAGTGATAAACGAAATGGTTTAATTGAAAAGCGTTTCAGCCCAACTTTAAATCTACGCACAATTTCTTTTCAGGGCGGGTGTCCTGGACTACAAGACTGCACTGGACATGACGGAGTACATAAAACACGAGCGGGAATATGTTCCATGGACGGTCGCTCTTCGCTCCATGGCTTACATCGGCACCATGCTGAGCTCAAGATCTTCCTACGAGCTTTATCAGGTAATAAAATTACTGGTAGTTTTAGATGGAGACCGCAAGAACACCGCACAAATGGGGAGAGATCTGGGATCGACAATAATTCAATCTTGCACTAAGCGTGTCTTTGAAAAACTATTGGACTACATTTAGCCGTCCCAGCTTTGGCTAAGTTATCTTCACAATCTTTTCCGTCTTAACACATCATCATTTGAGCTTGTTACTCGGGGTTGTTGGCCTGCAGCGTGTACCCTGATTTAACCATGTCCCATTATGCAACGGGAGCATTTTACTTCTGGGATCCTAGGTTGTGATGTAAAAATAAACGAGGCTGCTGCCCAAGGACTGCTTGTCGTCTGAAAATGATTGAACAACTTGTCTGTGTACCCCCCTCCCCCTCCTAGGAATACCCTTAATAATATAGTTACCAATTGTTTCTGTGACGTTCTCATTGGATATGAGATTCAACCACCAAATATCGATAAATGTTCAATTAGAGTTTTTAAAAATGTGTACGTATGATTAAAAAAACCAGTGCAAATGAGTAGGGCTCGGTGATAGTGCTGACTTGCGCTGTTAAACCTCTTTATCTTAACAAGCAATTCATCGTGGAGAAGATGAAGCCAATGGAACAAATACTAGGATGGGAAGACACTGGAGAACTGACTGATAAGTAAGAAATAAGCCTGGTACACTATCAACGTTCAGTGATTGTTTAGTGTTTGAAACTTTACACGCATGCTTATCTCGTTCCCAGATTTCTTTTGGGCGAAGCTTCACCCACAAGAGCTCTGGAAACGAGACTACACTCAAGCAACAAATTCTTCAATATTGAGCATATAAATGAACTAGAACATCCAACCGATGCGGTGTGCGGAGGATCATGGGTTTGACCTCCATCAGGGACTCAGATTTTTTCTTCGTCCCTCGTTCGTGATAACAGAATTATCATATTTTTTACAACAAATTCTTATTAAGCTTTAGTATGAAGACTAAAATGCAGCATAGACCTTCTATTGTTTATTTGCGAAAAATTCAATATAAATTTAAACCCGTTTGTAAATACGCTCTGACACACATGATACAGTTGCTCACACTTCACCGGGCTATGGGCATCTGTCATGTGCTTTGGGCCAGGTGCCCTGCTACCTTCCAGGCTCTTTGTATATCATGTGGACCAAACCATCATCAAAAAACATTATTTTTAATGGTGATTTGATTCACTTGCTAACACTTAGAACTCAAAGACATTGTACTGACTCAAACGATAACTGTCATAAACGAGTTGTAGCCAATACTGTTTCGATCATTTCAGTTTGACTAACCTAAGCTAAGTAAATAGAGGAAATTCTAACGATATTACTGTTCATACACACCTTTAAAATCTGAAGATTTTTCTTATCCGACCGCTTTGTCCTTAGAACAGGTGCAAAACAAATACAATGTGGAACTCGTTAATCCGGTCACCAACGGGCCACAAAAATCAGGGCTGGCCGTATTAATGGGGTGACAGTATTAAAGTGGTTCTTTAAACAAGAAAATGACTGACTGAGCTTTTGTTCGAGCCAGAGTAAAGTGGCCGTAATGACGAGGTGACTGTACTAACGGGGTGGCCGTAAAGGGGGCTTCCACTGTATTGAACTAATTTGACGACTGGGGATTACTGTGTTGTTGAAAATCAGCTGAAATCTTTTCTATCGTTTTACCGGTTTTGTAACCCATGATATTGAAGAATAAACCTTTATTTGTTGTTTTAGGTTTCTCCGAGAGCTAACTCTTTCTACGCTAAGTTTGAAGGGTCACGCAGAAACCGTAAGCAAGTCACAAAAACTGTTTGATGACTGGATGAGTACCAATGGGTAAGAATAGAAATGAAATATGGTGATAAGAGCTATGCATCAAAAAATTTGAACTACCTCTGGTGAATGCGAGTTATCATTATTTTACTGACACGTCTTGTCCTTTAAGTTTCACCGTTTTACGCCAATTTTTTCGCCGACGCAAAGGAAATTTGTGTCCAAAATCAGTTTGAAAGAATCTTTGAACGAAAATATAAATTTACTATTCATGTAACAAAGGCATGAAAATAAATGAACTTACCTTCTTTAACGTATCAGAGTTACCAAAGGGCGAAAAAAAAAGGAAGCTGGGTAATAATGAGTTTCAAAGAGTTTCCAAACAAATTTATGACATTTACCAAAAACCAATCAGAACGTCGCAGTTGTCTAATCACGTGAGACCGCGTGTGCATTGCCAACCAGTGGCGGGAAAACAGTCTTGAACCAGCCACGTCAGTATAAGTAATGTAACAAATTTTGCAAGAGGTTTTCGCAACTGCTCACCGATTTATTTTATGCCAGATTAGAGCGAGATGTGATTACCAGGCTTGTATGTTTTTGAATACAGCTGATATATCGACTAGGCCGAATTCATTGGTTCCTCTGATGCACCATGGTCCAGATCTTTCTCGAAGAAACACATTCTATAAATCTCGCGTGAAAAGGTTGACTTCCACAAAGTCCTCCGCATCTCTCGTTAAGAGCGAGTCTAGACGAAGGGTTTTAAGGTCCCGTCTACAGTACGCCGGAGAAATTTGAAAACGCAGCTTTATTTCTCCGGTTAGGCCTACCGTCTCTAATCCATCACGAAACGGAGCTTTTGGAAAACGATCTTTAAACCGGAGGAATTTAAAAACGCCGGCTTTGCGTTTTAGTGTACACGGAAAACACTTTGACAACGGAGCTTTTTGAATACGATGACATCAAGTTAATAAAGTGATTTTCCTGCCCGAGTTTACCTCAAACACAACTCCAAAATGACCGATGACTGTTGCGTTTTCAAATTTCTCCGACGCAGTGTGGACGGGGCGTAAGAAAGTTCTGCTAAATCAGAACCACGCTTAAATTGTGTAATCAAAACAAATGAAAGCTTTTCTAGATTGTCTACTTTATATTCAAACCACTCTGTACTTTCAGGAGCCATCCGATTGTGCCACACCTTCGAAAGATTGTTTACTTCACCGCCATTAAGTACGGAGGACACACTGAATGGGAATTTTTGTGGAGAAAGTACAAGGACTCCAAAAATGCCGCGGAGAGAGAAAAAATCATTTCCGCTCTCTGTACTGCGAGAAATAAAGATGTGCTACAAAGGTACGAGTTCTTGTTCTTTAATATTTCATACCCAGAAGTAAAAAGCTTGTGAAGTGGCTACGTCATTTCTGTGATGTAAACGATTTTCATATATCAAAGGGTTTGTCACGGTTCGCGCATCTTGAAAAGTTCAGCCTAAATTTTACAAGTTTGTCGTTTGTAATCTGTGTCAATCTTTCTCATCTTGAACCATCCGAATTTCTTTATGGTTTATTATCATCTCTTTAGCGTTTTCTATCTTAGTAAACTATTATTTTCAGGTTTAAAGGTAATTTTGTACGTGGTCAAAATAATTCAAAATACCCGAGACTGAACTATTTTAATGAAGTCGCAAGATGAATTTGAATTTTTTTTCTTACAATTTACACACATCAATAAGTTAAGCATTCCATTCCTCCGGTATTCAGGTGCCTACGGAGTTTAGTTGCATCGCAACTTTCAACAGCAATTTAGAAATTTTCATGCATCGCTTTTCTCTCGCACCAAAGGTTGCTAAAGGACACATTGGACAGCAGTGAGGTTCGTTCTCAGGATATGATTCAAATCATTGCTACCGTGGCTAGCAATCCTGAGGGACGCCAGCTGGCTTGGAAATTTTTTAACAAGAACTTCAAAAAGATAGTGGAAAGGTAAGAAATACTATGAATGTCCTTGAGAGCGCGGGAAACGTCGCTTCAGCTAATGCGTATTTGGCTGCTTTGCATCTGGTTGGCTGAGAACGTAATATCTTCATTCTGATTGGTAACAGCAGATCAGGTTTCCAACCTCGCTCCCATGGCCTTTTCCCTTCCTGGGGACGGAGGAAAGGCCATGGGTACGAGGTGATCAGGTTTTGAAAGTCAGGGAAAAGAGCTCAAAAGGCGAAGTCAGGATTTTGACTAGATCCTAGCAATATTCTTCAGCATAAATAGCTTACATCACTCTGCGTTATTGTCTATTGTCTTTTTCTCTCTATATCTCAGGTTTGGTAAAGAGTCAAAGGCAGTTGTGTTTCTCCTAGAGAAAACGACAGAAAATCTCAACACGCCAGAGCACTTGAAGGAGGTAAAGATATCTGTACACGGAACCTTTTCGGCAAATCAGTATCGTGTTGTTCCTTAGTCAACTGATTATTTCAAGACTGGATCTGAGCCTGGATTTAAAAAAAAACTTTAAGCCATGGCTCGGATTCTAGTTTGAATGAAGTCGAAGTCTGGTCACGGAACATGTAATTTCTGACGATGAAGGGAGAGGTTCCTTGGGCATCACGGGATGCTTAGGGGCTGGGTTTTAGCGGTAGATTTACGTCATTCTAGGTTGGTCAGTCTTACTGTTCGCCAACTTTTGTATGATTCTTTTTTGTTTAAACAACTTACATAAATAATTATAGAATACCTTTTTCCTCGAGGTGTCGTGTGACTGTAGTCAGAATTTCTACTGGGCTTCAATGAAACTTTTTAGTACAATTTTTGGACAATTTGTTACCAGAACCGCTATCCCGAGGATGTTGTAGAAAAATCGTTTTGTTGTGCCCTTATGACGCAGTTGCGAAAGTTTGTTGAGATCGGGTTTTTTTACAATAATTTGCAGGTCAAGGATTTCATCAAAACACATCACACAATGTCCTTGGTTCAATTATCTGACAAGAAAATTCTGGAAAAAATTCAGACCAACATACATTGGATGGCGACACAAGTCCAGAAGGTGGAGAAGTGGTTGAAGGATCGACAAAAATAAAAACAAAAAGAAACACATTCCTGACCCCATGGTGTAAGGATACCCCTCAATAGGGACTCAGTGATGGTCCCATTCACATGTAAAGCGAACACTGGAAACCCGCAGTGAAAAGAAGACCTCCCTTAAATTAAATGTGCACTGAGTGATGGTTTCAATTACATGTACAAACAGAGAACTCGTACTCTGCAGGAAGGTACACCATGCTGAAACTGCCACTGAACAGCAAGATCTTTTTTTTGTTCATAATTGAAATTTTTAACTTCCCTATTCTCATTGAGGCATAGTAAACACAAGGGGTTGTTTGGAGTAGATAAACATGAAAAGCAGTCAAGGCTATCTAAGGCATGTTAAATTCAAAGAGCAAACTAAAATCTGAAATTCGCAGACACTGTTTGAACAAGTCACGCAATCTTCCTCCCCCACGTAGGGGAGGGAGATTGCATGACAAGCCCAAAGAATGTCTGCGTAGGAGGTTAATTAATTTACGAAATTAAAAAAAATCTGTTTTCCATAATGCTAATGTAACTACCTTTTCACCCACTCACAGTGTGTACAGTAACTATTTCACCAACAATGCAACTGACGAGCACTTTTTGTGGGGCTTACTGACTTGGATCAGTTTGCTTCACAATGTCACTAAAAACAGGCTGGACCAATGGTTTCATTGATACAGGCAATTTAATAAACTTCTTACATATAATGGTACAGTATACCATGTACATTATATACATATATAATAAAGATTCTCGTAATTCTAGCAATGTAAAATACTCGAAGAAAAGACTCTAGACAACAGTAGCTGTTGAAAGTAACATTTCCATTAGTTCACTTCGCATTAAGCCATTCTTGGAATTACTCTTCCATTGGCAGTTTCTTATCCGTTCATGTTAACTACAGAACAAGCTATTGGTGTGGAAGTAAAAACATGACTGGGGCTAGAAACCCCTTTATCAACTCTGTCATTTTTCTAAATGATCAATCAGAGGTCAAGCTGTCAATAATATTATCGACTTTATTGAACTAAATCTATTATATAACTGAAAACGTAAGAAAAATAAGAATAAATTAAGTAACACCACACTAGTCAAATTCTCTTCCTTCACTTTTCAGAAAATTCAGAGAATTTATCACTGACAAATGATTAATGCTGTCTTTAAATGTAAGTTACACTTACAACAAAGCAATGCGTAGAAATCACAAATACTTCAAAGCATCGTGCAGTTCCAGAAAATATCCATATTGCTCCCACAGAAGGGATTGAAATTTCCTGGGAGGTGGGGCTTTCTGAAATACCAAAAAATTAAAGAAATGTGTGAAGCTTTATTCAAATTTCCAGAGGGGTGGGGCAGGGGAGGGGGTTCTTAGAAAAAATCCCTTCCATAGGGAAAGTATGGATATTTTCTGGAACCACACATTTCATCCCAACAATAACGATCATGCTTAAAACCGATTCCTCTCTGAGAAACTGACATCTTGATTGAAGTCCAGTTCATTTGAGTAAGCAGGTGGTAATGTTAACAAACACCAATAAGTTCTTTCTTAACATTTTTTCTCACACAGTTCAAGTTTGCTGGTTCATTTTAATCAAACAGAACCAGTAGCTCCAGAACAGCATTCCCTCTCAAAATGGCACTGCATTATAATACAGTCATCAATCTTCCCACATATTCCCAAATGTTGCTCACATTATTTCTTAGCTTCAAGTCCTATGATCATGATCAAAATTAAATTCTCTCCACTGAATCACTTTGAATAATTTTATCAACTATCCTTGAATAAATTAGATTTTAAATGAACAAAGCTGTCCTAAATGGCTAATTCACATGGCCTTTAAGATGTATTTACAACTATACTTACACCATTATTTCTACAGAAGCAATTCTCTGAGTCAGACACTTTTTGGCTAATTTTTTTCTTTTTCGTTTTGTGTTAATTTTTTTAGGACTTCAACTTCCCAAGTTAACAGTACTGTTCTATAGAAACTCTGCCTCTTGTATTTTTGGTGCACATTTCCTTAACACAATTATTCTGTTTACTTAAATCTGCGGCAATCATTTTCACATTCCCACATCATGCACATGTACTTGATTTTCGTTTTACCTTATGGTGTCCAGAATGTTCCAAAAAACTCCTCCACTTTGTTAGATAATTAGGCAACAAGAGTAAGTCACAGTGATTACAATGAAACCTGTTAAATTCTGAGCACTTACTGAATGCAAATTTGCAATGTTCTGTTACTAAAAATCAGAAGTTAGATGACCTTTCAGAAAGCAAAATATACACTGCGAGCTACAGAAGAAACACAAAGATGTTTTTATGAACATTCGCAGAAGGCCTTGTCATAGAAAAAAAAATGGCAACTTAAAAAATTCAAATAAAAGTAAAAATATTAGGTAAATTAAATTTTAAAAAACACCAACCTACATGTATGGTGTTTTAATTTCCTGTCTCTTGAAGGAAATTGATTGGATTTGTTATTTGCACATAAATCTAGCCTCTGATTAGCCTAACCAGAGATGAACATAGATCTTAATCTACAGTTGTACATGTATAATAAATAACTTACAATAAATGCTGACCTGTACACGTTCAGGTTTCATAGTATCATTTCTAATCAATTAAAAGTTCAATTTGTAAAGGCAAACTTTATCAAGACTTAAGCATGTGTGCTATAATTATGCTCCCATTGAAATCTTAATCATACAAGCACACTTTAAAAGCTGGTTTCACTAGCAGTGGAGTCAGAGTTGGAGTTGTTGTCGGAGTCGTAAGAGCGCTTATGACCCAGTGAAAATCGGAGTCGTAAGAGAGTCATAAGCTCGACGGAATCGGAGTCGGAAGAACCCAAACGTTTCCATTTCTTCTGATTCTGTTTACAACTCCATCACTCATGATTGACTGAAAACTAGATTGTCAAAGTAGGAAGCAGAAGTAGAAGAACTAACCAATCGCAAGGCCTGGAATCGAACATTGTGATTGGTTTATTCTTCCACTTATGCTTCAGACTCCAACAATCTAATTTTCACTAGATCGTAAGTAACGGGGGCATAAGTGGAACGGGTGTTCTGCTTCTGACTCCATGGGTTTGATTTTCACTAGGTCATATCACTCTACACTTCTGATAACAACTGCGACTACAACTCCATCACCAGTGAAATCCAGCCTTCAGAGATTTGGCATTCTTTGTGCCATATATGGACCAAAACCCTATATTGAATTAAAATAATAATTATGGTATTATAATGACATGGAATAACCAGCTACTGGCACTTCTTTTACGGTCATTTAAATTTGATAATATATTTTGAGGGCAGGTGGTACCGACTGATTATATTCTAGAGATATTATTATATACATTTAAAAACCAAGAAAGCTGCGAATGCATCCACAATGAAACAGGCAAATCTACAAGCTTTCAACTTTAGGATATAACACCCTTGGACTTGTAAAGCCCTGAGAAACTGAATTACATTGCAACAGAATAATGCATCATTTCATCTGCTCAAACAAGTTTTGACCATAAGTCTTGGAATGTGTTAAACAACTAAGATTAAAGAAGGTTTTCTAATAAATTGGCCAAGTAATCTGTTATACAAATTTTCAAGAGAGAAGGGAGTTTTCAAAAAGGCACCACTCTGTCACTATTTTAAAGATAAAAGAAGCTCTCTGTTACAATCTTGATGTTTTGGGGCACTATACATATATATATATNGGAGCTTTTTGAATACGATGACATCAAGTTAATAAAGTGATTTTCCTGCCCGAGTTTACCTCAAACACAACTCCAAAATGACCGATGACTGTTGCGTTTTCAAATTTCTCCGACGCAGTGTGGACGGGGCGTAAGAAAGTTCTGCTAAATCAGAACCACGCTTAAATTGTGTAATCAAAACAAATGAAAGCTTTTCTAGATTGTCTACTTTATATTCAAACCACTCTGTACTTTCAGGAGCCATCCGATTGTGCCACACCTTCGAAAGATTGTTTACTTCACCGCCATTAAGTACGGAGGACACACTGAATGGGAATTTTTGTGGAGAAAGTACAAGGACTGCAAAAATGCCGCGGAGAGAGAAAAAATCATTTCCGCTCTCTGTACTGCGAGAAATAAAGATGTGCTACAAAGGTACGAGTTCTTGTTCTTTAATATTTCATACCCAGAAGTAAAAAGCTTGTGAAGTGGCTACGTCATTTCTGTGATGTAAACGATTTTCATATATCAAAGGGTTTGTCACGGTTCGCGCATCTTGAAAAGTTCAGCCTAAATTTTACAAGTTTGTCGTTTGTAATCTGTGTCAATCTTTCTCATCTTGAACCATCCGAATTTCTTTATGGTTTATTATCATCTCTTTAGCGTTTTCTATCTTAGTAAACTATTATTTTCAGGTTTAAAGGTAATTTTGTACGTGGTCAAAATAATTCAAAATACCCGAGACTGAACTATTTTAATGAAGTCGCAAGATGAATTTGAATTTTTTTTCTTACAATTTACACACATCAATAAGTTAAGCATTCCATTCCTCCGGTATTCAGGTGCCTACGGAGTTTAGTTGCATCGCAACTTTCAACAGCAATTTAGAAATTTTCATGCATCGCTTTTCTCTCGCACCAAAGGTTGCTAAAGGACACATTGGACAGCAGTGAGGTTCGTTCTCAGGATATGATTCAAATCATTGCTACCGTGGCTAGCAATCCTGAGGGACGCCAGCTGGCTTGGAAATTTTTTAACAAGAACTTCAAAAAGATAGTGGAAAGGTAAGAAATACTATGAATGTCCTTGAGAGCGCGGGAAACGTCGCTTCAGCTAATGCGTATTTGGCTGCTTTGCATCTGGTTGGCTGAGAACGTAATATCTTCATTCTGATTGGTAACAGCAGATCAGGTTTCCAACCTCGCTCCCATGGCCTTTTCCCTTCCTGGGGACGGAGGAAAGGCCATGGGTACGAGGTGATCAGGTTTTGAAAGTCAGGGAAAAGAGCTCAAAAGGCGAAGTCAGGATTTTGACTAGATCCTAGCAATATTCTTCAGCATAAATAGCTTACATCACTCTGCGTTATTGTCTATTGTCTTTTTCTCTCTATATCTCAGGTTTGGTAAAGAGTCAAAGGCAGTTGTGTTTCTCCTAGAGAAAACGACAGAAAATCTCAACACGCCAGAGCACTTGAAGGAGGTAAAGATATCTGTACACGGAACCTTTTCGGCAAATCAGTATCGTGTTGTTCCTTATTCAACTGATTATTTCAAGACTGGATCTGAGCCTGGATTTAAAAAAAAACTTTAAGCCATGGCTCGGATTCTAGTTTGAATGAAGTCGAAGTCTGGTCACGGAACATGTAATTTCTGACGATGAAGGGAGAGGTTCCTTGGGCATCACGGGATGCTTAGGGGCTGGGTTTTAGCGGTAGATTTACGTCATTCTAGGTTGGTCAGTCTTACTGTTCGCCAACTTTTGTATGATTCTTTTTTGTTTAAACAACTTACATAAATAATTATAGAATACCTTTTTCCTCGAGGTGTCGTGTGACTGTAGTCAGAATTTCTACTGGGCTTCAATGAAACTTTTTAGTACAATTTTTGGACAATTTGTTACCAGAACCGCTATCCCGAGGATGTTGTAGAAAAATCGTTTTGTTGTGCCCTTATGACGCAGTTGCGAAAGTTTGTTGAGATCGGGTTTTTTTACAATAATTTGCAGGTCAAGGATTTCATCAAAACACATCACACAATGTCCTTGGTTCAATTATCTGACAAGAAAATTCTGGAAAAAATTCAGACCAACATACATTGGATGGCGACACAAGTCCAGAAGGTGGAGAAGTGGTTGAAGGATCGACAAAAATAAAAACAAAAAGAAACACATTCCTGACCCCATGGTGTAAGGATACCCCTCAATAGGGACTCAGTGATGGTCCCATTCACATGTAAAGCGAACACTGGAAACCCGCAGTGAAAAGAAGACCTCCCTTAAATTAAATGTGCACTGAGTGATGGTTTCAATTACATGTACAAACAGAGAACTCGTACTCTGCAGGAAGGTACACCATGCTGAAACTGCCACTGAACAGCAAGATCTTTTTTTTGTTCATAATTGAAATTTTTAACTTCCCTATTCTCATTGAGGCATAGTAAACACAAGGGGTTGTTTGGAGTAGATAAACATGAAAAGCAGTCAAGGCTATCTAAGGCATGTTAAATTCAAAGAGCAAACTAAAATCTGAAATTCGCAGACACTGTTTGAACAAGTCACGCAATCTTCCTCCCCCACGTAGGGGAGGGAGATTGCATGACAAGCCCAAAGAATGTCTGCGTAGGAGGCTAATTAATTTACGAAATTAAAAAAATTCTGTTTTCCATAATGCTAATGTAACTACCTTTTCACCCACTCACAGTGTGTACAGTAACTATTTCACCAACAATGCAACTGACGAGCACTTTTTGTGGGGCTTACTGACTTGGATCAGTTTGCTTCACAATGTCACTAAAAACAGGCTGGACCAATGGTTTCATTGATACAGGCAATTTAATAAACTTCTTACATATAATGGTACAGTATACCATGTACATTATATACATATATAATAAAGATTCTCGTAATTCTAGCAATGTAAAATACTCGAAGAAAAGACTCTAGACAACAGTAGCTGTTGAAAGTAACATTTCCATTAGTTCACTTCGCATTAAGCCATTCTTGGAATTACTCTTCCATTGGCAGTTTCTTATCCGTTCATGTTAACTACAGAACAAGCTATTGGTGTGGAAGTAAAAACATGACTGGGGCTAGAAACCCCTTTATCAACTCTGTCATTTTTCTAAATGATCAATCAGAGGTCAAGCTGTCAATAATATTATCGACTTTATTGAACTAAATCTATTATATAACTGAAAACGTAAGAAAAATAAGAATAAATTAAGTAACACCACACTAGTCAAATTCTCTTCCTTCACTTTTCAGAAAATTCAGAGAATTTATCACTGACAAATGATTAATGCTGTCTTTAAATGTAAGTTACACTTACAACAAAGCAATGCGTAGAAATCACAAATACTTCAAAGCATCGTGCAGTTCCAGAAAATATCCATATTGCTCCCACAGAAGGGATTGAAATTTCCTGGGAGGTGGGGCTTTCTGAAATACCAAAAAATTAAAGAAATGTGTGAAGCTTAATTCAAATTTCCAGAGGGGTGGGGCAGGGGAGGGGGTTCTTAGAAAAAATCCCTTCCATAGGGAAAGTATGGATATTTTCTGGAACCACACATTTCATCCCAACAATAACGATCATGCTTAAAACCGATTCCTCTCTGAGAAACTGACATCTTGATTGAAGTCCAGTTCATTTGAGTAAGCAGGTGGTAATGTTAACAAACACCAATAAGTTCTTTCTTAACATTTTTTCTCACACAGTTCAAGTTTGCTGGTTCATTTTAATCAAACAGAACCAGTAGCTCCAGAACAGCATTCCCTCTCAAAATGGCACTGCATTATAATACAGTCATCAATCTTCCCACATATTCCCAAATGTTGCTCACATTATTTCTTAGCTTCAAGTCCTATGATCATGATCAAAATTAAATTCTCTCCACTGAATCACTTTGAATAATTTTATCAACTATCCTTGAATAAATTAGATTTTAAATGAACAAAGCTGTCCTAAATGGCTAATTCACATGGCCTTTAAGATGTATTTACAACTATACTTACACCATTATTTCTACAGAAGCAATTCTCTGAGTCAGACACTTTTTGGCTAATTTTTTTCTTTTTCGTTTTGTGTTAATTTTTTTAGGACTTCAACTTCCCAAGTTAACAGTACTGTTCTATAGAAACTCTGCCTCTTGTATTTTTGGTGCACATTTCCTTAACACAATTATTCTGTTTACTTAAATCTGCGGCAATCATTTTCACATTCCCACATCATGCACATGTACTTGATTTTCGTTTTACCTTATGGTGTCCAGAATGTTCCAAAAAACTCCTCCACTTTGTTAGATAATTAGGCAACAAGAGTAAGTCACAGTGATTACAATGAAACCTGTTAAATTCTGAGCACTTACTGAATGCAAATTTGCAATGTTCTGTTACTAAAAATCAGAAGTTAGATGACCTTTCAGAAAGCAAAATATACACTGCGAGCTACAGAAGAAACACAAAGATGTTTTTATGAACATTCGCAGAAGGCCTTGTCATAGAAAAAAAAATGGCAACTTAAAAAATTCAAATAAAAGTAAAAATATTAGGTAAATTAAATTTTAAAAAACACCAACCTACATGTATGGTGTTTTAATTTCCTGTCTCTTGAAGGAAATTGATTGGATTTGTTATTTGCACATAAATCTAGCCTCTGATTAGCCTAACCAGAGATGAACATAGATCTTAATCTACAGTTGTACATGTATAATAAATAACTTACAATAAATGCTGACCTGTACACGTTCAGGTTTCATAGTATCATTTCTAATCAATTAAAAGTTCAATTTGTAAAGGCAAACTTTATCAAGACTTAAGCATGTGTGCTATAATTATGCTCCCATTGAAATCTTAATCATACAAGCACACTTTAAAAGCTGGTTTCACTAGCAGTGGAGTCAGAGTTGGAGTTGTTGTCGGAGTCGTAAGAGCGCTTATGACCCAGTGAAAATCGGAGTCGTAAGAGAGTCATAAGCTCGACGGAATCGGAGTCGGAAGAACCCAAACGTTTCCATTTCTTCTGATTCTGTTTACAACTCCATCACTCATGATTGACTGAAAACTAGATTGTCAAAGTAGGAAGCAGAAGTAGAAGAACTAACCAATCGCAAGGCCTGGAATCGAACATTGTGATTGGTTTATTCTTCCACTTATGCTTCAGACTCCAACAATCTAATTTTCACTAGATCGTAAGTAACGGGGGCATAAGTGGAACGGGTGTTCTGCTTCTGACTCCATGGGTTTGATTTTCACTAGGTCATATCACTCTACACTTCTGATAACAACTGCGACTACAACTCCATCACCAGTGAAATCCAGCCTTCAGAGATTTGGCATTCTTTGTGCCATATATGGACCAAAACCCTATATTGAATTAAAATAATAATTATGGTATTATAATGACATGGAATAACCAGCTACTGGCACTTCTTTTACGGTCATTTAAATTTGATAATATATTTTGAGGGCAGGTGGTACCGACTGATTATATTCTAGAGATATTATTATATACATTTAAAAACCAAGAAAGCTGCGAATGCATCCACAATGAAACAGGCAAATCTACAAGCTTTCAACTTTAGGATATAACACCCTTGGACTTGTAAAGCCCTGAGAAACTGAATTACATTGCAACAGAATAATGCATCATTTCATCTGCTCAAACAAGTTTTGACCATAAGTCTTGGAATGTGTTAAACAACTAAGATTAAAGAAGGTTTTCTAATAAATTGGCCAAGTAATCTGTTATACAAATTTTCAAGAGAGAAGGGAGTTTTCAAAAAGGCACCACTCTGTCACTATTTTAAAGATAAAAGAAGCTCTCTGTTACAATCTTGATGTTTCGGGGCACTATACATATATATATATCAAGCTTTAGTGTAAATATCCCTGGCAGAAGCATCAAAAAGAATTTACAGCTGAATTAGTGACCTCCTAAAAAGATTTCACTCTTGTTTACTACCCGAATACAATACCAAGAATTCCAATACATAATTATTTTGTTTTAAGAATGACAAATTAATGAAGGTTATTTAAAGATAATACTGACCTTTGATAGAAAAGCTCTGCTATATGCAGACACAACCACTCTACTGATCTGACACTGTTGTACCACAGAATAAATTTGGTCCAAAAAATAATAATAATAATAATAATAATAATAGGGAAAGTTTCAAGGGGCATGTGCTTTTCATAATAGAGGAACATATTAAATGTATTCCTTTGCTCAGCTGTTTACAATAAAATAAAATTGTCTGCATGTACAATGTACATGTAGAGCTATATATTGTGGGTTGATGAGCAACCGCTAATGTTATCCCTTCTGTTTCTATAGTTTATCACACAATGATAAGCAATCATCGAGAGTTATAAATTTCATCCTCCTGAACTGTAAATCAAACCTGAAGGAATACATTGTGTCTGATGTTGCTACCGTCTTCTCTTCACTGATGAGGGAGGGTGAGGCGATGATGGCTGTGAAGAACTTGCACTGTTCACTTGCCGTGTCCTCTTCCTCTTCGGTGATGAATCCGGTGTGGATGTGCTTGGTGAATTGCTGGCCAACCCTTGAAGTTTGAGTTTAAGAAGAGCTAAAATCAAGATCACAACCCCTTAGCCATCACCAACACAGTTTAATCCCCCGTATTTCGTAGGTCAAGGTTTGGCAAGTTTATGTTTTTCGACCAAAATATTTTGTGCCTTAAGAGTGGTTTTCATATAAGTGTTGAAAGTAATCAGGCAATTACTTTGGTTTTGGTTTTGGTTTTAGTACAGTCTGAGATTGGCTGAGTGGTCCAATTGCCAAGTAATTGGTTGGGTTTTGGTTTAAAAAGTGCTGTGTGCCTTATATTTATATGATGATTGCTATAAATTTACGCATTTTGGATAGAACATGGCCAAAAATGTGTTGGTTAGAAGGGAGAAAAGCAAAGAAACCTCTGAGAGATATTACATGAGTGTTAATCCAAGAGTTCTCTGATTGGTTTTCTTCCCTTCAAAAGAACCAACATTTCAAAAACTCTGATTTGATCTAAAAACAGTGCTGTGGATGAAGAACCTCTCTGTAGATGTGTCACTACAAACTCCAATATATCATTTTCCAAATTTATTATTTATAAAGGGTATAAAATAATTTCTTCTTTACCTGTCATGCCTTCGTCAGCCACAGCAGATGATTCAGATGCAGACGAATGAGGCTTGGTACTAGACTCAAATATTTCATCAGGTAAATTGAAATCTGTTTCATCATTTGGAAATGGCACACTCTCAAGATCATCCTGAGTGAATCAAATAAAACACAGAGCTTATTTCTGTGTCACAACTTCCATTTCATTAGATAACAACAGAGATACATTGTGCCTTGGAACTCAGGACAACATAACTTTTTTTGTTATCAATTCAACACAGCTCTGCAAATTTAACAGTACTTTTTCCTAACATTTATTTACTAGCAGCATAATTTCTCTTTAGAGACTAAATATTTTAAGTGAGCCATGCTGAAAATTGTCTCATTCCGTATTTCCCTTCCCGCAGTTCCATTCCTTACAATTCCGGTATTGTTTTTAGTACTTAGGCTCCGCTCGGTTATCAAACAAAACATTAGCGGACTTGAAAAATGTTTATATGTGGGAGCGCCCATTTGCCAGTGAGAGAAACTAATCTGAAAAATAAAAAGCAAAACGATACAGAAATACTTTTGAGACAAAGATACTACTTAAAGTGAACTTCTCACATAGTAAGGGTAGTTATTTTGACACAAAGTAAAAAAATTCAACAAATAAACGAATTTCGCGATCGATGTGAAGGTAGAATTCTCTGTCGACCCGCGTGAAAACAAAAGAAACAAATAACCTTTTCAAACTCGACTACTCACCAAAGCTTGAAGATTGTACAGTTCCTGTAAATGTTCCCATATTTGTTTGGACGAAATGTTTCTTTTGCCAGTCGACGTTGCGAATTTATCGTGAATACACGCCATATGAAAATGTCGATTTATCCCTTGAAAATAAACAAAAGAACTCGTTAAAAAATTCGAAATATAAAAGTACCACCTGAAATCAATACTCTGACTCACCTACTGGCTTGTGACCCTTCATGGAATGAAACAAACTGACTTCGAGTTCTGGGGTCCAAACCAAAACTTCTTCTGTAGACGCCATCTTGATTTGGTGTTTCAATACGCATGATCAGTTTCTGCACCTGCTGAAAAATATGCGTAAAATCGCGGGCTCAAATAAAACTTCTGCACTTTGTACTTATGGTCTTTTCTTTAGCACGACTCTGAGAAAATGACCAGGAAAACTATCAAGTCCATCCAAGAACTGGGAGAATTCTTCAAATACGGAGATGCAAGGTCAAACAACGAATTATGGGGCCCATTTAATCGAATTTTCAGAGTCTCAATGAAATCCAGCCGAATGGAAATACCAAAGAAGTTTGAAGCGAAACTGAGCCGGTGGTTTCATCTGCCGGGTGATGAACATGAAGAACAGTCCATCAAGAGAGCAGAGCTTCAAACAGTTGGTTGGTATTCTCAAATTTTATTACTTTAAATTTATCTCTTGAATGTAGCAGCCTGCTTGTTGCTGAGGGGTCTGGACTCTGGCCTGTCAATCAGTCAATCCATCCATCAATCAATCAATCAACCAATCAATAAATCAATCAATCTGTCAGTCTAAAGTAATACTACTACTACATTCAATCATTGATCAATCACTAATTTTATAACAAGAAAATTTCCTGCCAGAAAAAAAAATAGGCCGAAGTTTCATAAGCTTATATCTGCAACTCTCTGGAAACATGCAACCAGTGTAGCTGTATGCAAAATTAAAACAACTTCTGAATTACCTGATGCCCTACTACTTTGAACTGTGCATTCTTAAGAAAAACGTTAGACTTAATTATGATATTTTTTGGGATTACAGTGAGAGTATTTGACAGATGGACATGCAACCAAACTTGTTTCAATGCTGCAAGAGCTCTCAAACCACTCAACAATGGCGAGGCAAAGCCTGTAAGCTGTGTCGAAGTGCCTGTAGGCTCCAAAGTGCCAGACTGTGACTTCTGTACTCCACTGGACTTCACTGCTGCAGGTAAAACTGTTCATGGCACATACCTTGCTCATAAAAAAGCAATGCATGCAGTGCAGGGCTGTCATTAAGTTTGATTCATCTGTAACCTTGATCTTCACACCTGTAACAAACTTGTTACTTTATGGGTGAATTGTATCAACTACAGGCAAGTTCACCCGTACCATCAAGGGCCTATCAAGCGTGCTCAGCCGTAACAGGTGCTATGGGTTATGGCCCTTATTGACAGCCCCGCAGTGCATATTTAAACTTTTAGACAAGTTAACAGCAATGAAAAGCGTCTAAATTAGTTACAACCTGGTTTTAAAATGTTAACACCCAAGTCGACCCTGGGACAGGACAAAATACTCGACAGTCATCTGAAACAAGTACTTTCACTTGTCTGTCTCTGACAAACTATGGTTTTTCCCTTTATTTGGCTTGGTTTTTGCCATAATTATTAGTCTAGAAGAATTAAAAAGCAAAGGAGCAAGGCAAAAATTTTATTAGAAAACAACAAGAGAGACATAAATTATATGAGAAATTCCATTGTTATATTCCAGCACTCACATGTCATTCTTAGACTTTTGACTGCTACCAGGGGGTTAATCCTTGTACAAATTACTCTGATCTTGTAAAAGGGAAAAGGTTGTCATAAATTGCTACCTTCAGTGGGAGAAATCTAACTAGTAACTATCTTTTCAGATCTGTGGGGTCGCTTGGAAAATGACAGTGGCTTGACAGCTTCCAATGTTGCCAAATATGATGGACTACACAGTATGGTTGTGTTTAAAGAACATCCTCCAAGCCATATGGACAGGGTACAAAATCATGTTATTTACAGAGACAGAGGAAAAAAAATAACAAACCATTTTCACTGAATATGCAAACCTTTCCAGAGTAACTGCGGGTTATTTGGAAAAAATTGAGCACTAGTCCTGGCCATTTGTCCTTAGTATGAATCCACTATGGACATTTGTGTCTCTCATATGGCATTGGCTTTCAGTAACAAATTGAGTTATTTTTTCTTTCAGACACTTAAATAATAAGCAGTTGTTCAATTATGTTCTTACTCAATTCCCTCTTTGTTCCCTTCACAAATACATGAACAACTTTAAGTACCTGGGATATCAGTAGGACATCTGTAGGCAGATGTGGGGTTGGGAGTGTGTGTCTGTGGAGGAGGGGGGGGGGGGGGGGGGGGGGATGGTGAGTCAAGTGCTGGCCAGGCCAGATGAGTTTGACAAACTGAAATCATGTCTTGCTGTGTAATTTATTTCAGATGAAGTTGTTTGATGTTTTAGAGTTGTGTACCCAGTGGTTTGAAATAACTCATAAAAACAATCCAGAGGCCATCTATCCAATCATGAACTGGAACTGTCGTGCCCGGGCAGGAGCATCACAACACCATGGGCATTCACATATGCTCTTGGCAGAGAATTTCCACTATGGACAGTGGGAGGGTCTACGACAGGCTGCCAAGCTTTATTCTCTAGAAAATGCAGGCTTTAACTACTTTGACGATCTAGTATCAGCCCACAGAAACCTCGGACTTGCAAAAACCTTTGGAGAAGCTTGTGTGTTTGCCCATTTAGTGCCGTTTTGTGGCTATGAGTTCAAGGTGGTCTCATGGAACTATGATGATAATTTCAAGCTGGCAGTTAGTGAAGCAGTCAAAGCTCTCATTCATACATTTGGTTCTGAATGCTTCAACTTGTGCATTCACTTTCCTCCCCTTCAAAATGGAAAACTTAGAGAAAGTGCAACAGTGGCAGAAATAAAGAACAGAAGCTTAGAAACAGGAGATGTTGCTATGCCTTTCATGGCTCATCTTGTTGATAGAGGAGGAGTGAAGAGTTCGTCATCTGATGTCTGCGGCATGAGGATTTATGGAAGTGCCATCGTTAACGAAGATCCTTTTTCGATTGCTCAGCAGTTGGGATGGCAAGAATGAACTTACTTGACACTTTTCATTTCAGTTTTTAACAATGTATCAATAATGTATTGATGCATCAGCCAATCTTTTATCTTTTATGTTGTTTTGCTTTTTGTCATATGAACTTCAAAATTGATCATCTCTTCTCCCATTTACACCCTGGTTTGGGGGGGGGAGGGAACTTCCAAAATAAAAAGGACAAGGGTGCTCATCAGAAATTTGCAAAGAACCCCTAAGAGGTACCAAGATACTGTTTTGTGGGTGTGGCTTCCAAGTGTTTTCATTCCTAAGAGGTACCAATTCTAAAACAACACTGTAACTAACACTGACTTTTTTTAGCTCAATATTACCTAAAAGGTACCATGAAAGCTCCTGCTGTGGACCTTTTGAGGCTGAATATCCTGAGAGGTACCAAACCTGCTTTTTAGCCCCTAAAAGGTATGATGAGCACCCCCTTCCTTTTTATGTGGGAACCCCCCCCCCCCTCCCACTGGGATTTAGACTTACCACAAGTCAACCTTCACTGAATCCTTAGCTTATTCATCTCCCTCAAGCAAAGCTAGCAGAGCAAAGATATTTATTTTTAAAAAGGACTTTTAGAAAGTCAACTCCCATTGGGATTTCTGTTAATTTATACCTCCCCCAAGATAAATTTATGTTTTTATCCTTGATTAGAAAGTATTTTTACATACAAATGTTGCAAATAAAACAATATTCTCATTAACTAAGAAATGCATATTTTTAACGTTCAGGAAAGGACAGTGCAACCAATATTTGTCTATACTGTGATTTCTTCATACAATTTCCACTTTTCAAAGAAATCCATCCTACAGTTGTACTAATTATTTTTATGTACAAATTCACTGTTGATTATTTGATTGGTACCTACAGAGAGTTCTGGATCTTAATTCTTTGTGCAGCCAGATACCTGTCATGTGTTACAAGAAGATGATCAGTAAATTCCAATATAATATATTCAACTTATTTTGTCAGATAAAATGTACATGTAGGCATTTTAGTTGATTAATTTACCTTTAAATAATTTACTGTCAAATTGATTTCTTAAGTTTTATCACTAACTTATTTTATGGGATAACTCTATTTAGAAGTTAATATATAATTTTGCCTCGACAACTTCTCATTCTGTAGTTTAATAATAATTTAGGAGTTTGCAGGGGTATGCTTTTTGACAATAATAGTCAAATATAGTATAATTTTAATAGAATCTCAATGTATTTTTGTACACTTATATGTAAGTTGTGTCTTAACATCGTTTTACTGTTAAGCACTGTATAGAGCCCAGAAAAGCTGATTTTAATACAGAAAAATAGCTTGACGTTTGCTCATGTCTTAATCTGAGGGGTGCTAGATCTGGCATTTTGTATATTGTTGGTCAGAGAGATGCTATTTTTATCAGTGGAAATTCAGGGAATTTTGATAAGTGGTCTGTGGAAACCATGCTTAGGGTTTTGGTCTTGCATGTGGCAGAGAATGTAAACCTCTTGTTGTTCTCTTATATATTTATTTCATCTCCTGTTGGTCACACATGGAACAAGTGAAATTGTTATATATCTTAACTCAAATACGTTTTCTGATTGAAGGAGAACGTGTCACGTGTCATGGGTCAAAACTCACTAACTCACAAGGGCGAACAAAACTCACTAACCCCCTAGGGAAACAACAGTTTGAACTTTGACTTGCACGTGCTCAGGTCGTGCTCCTTGAAACCGCAGCAAATTTGTGAGCCATCCAACCTCAAGCAAATGACTTCTTCGCAGTTTTTTTCTATGTTCGAGTTGGGAGGGATAACAAAACACTTAATGACAGGTCCCACGGGAAACAGTGAGTTTTGTTTCCTTGACCTCAATGTTCCCCTCAGCTTCATCTCGGGGAACATTGAGGGTCTCGAGGAAACAGAACTCACTCCCTTGAGGCCAGTCATTAAGTGCTTAATAATTATAACTCCATTTGATATATGGACTCTAATGCTGATGATCAGTTTCATAAAAATCTATTACATTATTGGTTTGTATGGAAAGTATCAATATATTAATTAGGTCTTTAATTCTTCAACAACACATACGTTGTTTTTTTAGCATAATAGTTATGAGCCTTGCATGCCAAATTAAGATAGAACAGGTGGTCGTTTACGAGAGCTTAGACCACATTGGGTCAAAATTTGGCCTCACTGGCATATGGTAACTGCAGAGACTTGCCCCATGTTTTAATGTTTTATTCATGTGAAAAGTCTATTTCGAGAAAGAATCTGGTACTTCCCATTGAGAAATGTCCGTCTCTCGTACTACCCACGAATGCGATAATGTTAATTGTACATCTTGTTATCCAATTTCAGCTCTATTGTCTGTCAAGTGGTTGCTTACAGGAGATTAAAATCAAAAGTAAATTTCCAACTTTCAGCTCTGAAAGTGGTTGCAATCGCTTAGTAGAAGTTCCAAATATAGTGAGTTGACTAAGAAACTTCTGGTGTTTTGGAAAACTGGTCGTTGAGGAGGTGGTCGCGATCGGAGGTTCAACTGTATGGACTATTTTATTACAGCTTTGTAAATATTATTAAGTGAATGACAACCACACAGATGTGACAGATATCAATGGTAGTGACCCATGACTGCAAGTTCTATCAGATCACTTTAACTTACTTGCAACTATCATTATGTTGAACATAGATACACAATTACAAGGTTGTGGTTGTATGACAGTTGACAAACAAATAATCAGATTACATTCACCTACTAATTTACATGTGACAAATTTTGCAAATTCAACCATTCAATCAAATTCAAGAAGATTATGGATAACCCTTAAAAAGAGAAATTCGAAGACTAATCATAACAAACTGCATTTATTATCAAAACTGCGCTTAGCTTTCAGTCTTGCCAGAATAAAATTATAAGAGCCCAAATATAATCATGTACCAATTAATTAATAAAGTGTCAAGTGCCACAAACTTTTCTTAGGTAATACAGTGAAGAAAAACAATACTTTCAGTAATTTGTATTGAACAGGAATCCATCAAAACAGCAGCTATCTTGTATTTCTGCCTGCATCAAAGACAGTCAAGACTGCCGCACTATATCAAGGATTTAGTGACAGATCCTGCTGCATCGCAGGTGACTACACGTACTTCATATGAAATAACATTAAAAAGAAAATAACACTAATAATAACTTATTATTCAGTAATGACAAACAAGATTCCAGCACAATAATCTTAATTTATTCAGTAATAACTTAAAAAAATGAAAAATAGGTGAAGACACTGAACATAGTACTTGTCAATGACCCTTATGGAATCATGCAGTTGATGAGTAAACAAACATCAAATTTGTTCCTGAAACCAATGCATCTCCAATCTAATTTCTAAAATAAATGATTGAATGAATTTCAACTGAAACTTTTCATGCAACTACTGCCCAGCCAAGAAATTTTCTATCCACCTCCCCTCCCATTCCCATTCAATTACATTGCATACTGGTAATTACTAATTAATTACGTAGAAGTATATATGATGCATTTACACACTGTACATATACACTCTAGTTCAGTGACAATGAGGTGATGGTGACAAGCCACCTTTTTGCTACAGAAACTAGTGAGAGTTTTCGCTGCCTAATTGTACAAGTCATGATCTACGGTAGCTGGCTAGCTTTACAGGTACAGACTTCAAAATAGTAACATTACTACATTTGGAGACAATTACCACACTACTCTCATGTTACTTGTTTCTGCTCAACCTAGCTGAGGCTAATATAAATTTGAAACTCTACCCTACTTTCTTTATGCAAACATTCTCTGGATAGCTTCTATAAGCTCTTAATACCAAAATCAAATTATAAGTAAAAATAATAGTTAACTATTAATAATAATACAATCATAGTTTTAGCAACACTATCTGACTGCGCAGAAATTCAAAAATTTCTACTACAGTGCAAAATACTTCACAACATGCAGGCCATTGTTCCAACATAATGGTTGCAGCATTATTTTAAATCTCACAATGGCCTCATCTTGTGGATCCCTGAATTTACCCAATGAAAATGGGAGCACAGTTTTGCTTAAAACTGTTGAAAGGACTGTTTCAGTTCAATCTTATCAGAAGAAACATATTTTTAAATCCAGATTTATCCTTCCAGTGTTAATGAAGTGTTGCAATGCTAGAACATCCTGAAACATCAACGATGGCTTGCACAGGCAGATTACAAGTAGATTAATCACGTTGAAACCGCAGTCTTGTGATAAAAATCACAAGGACAAACCAGCCACCTATTAAAGGTAACCCAATGTACAAGTTTTCTTTGAATTCATAATTATTATTTACATATTGAGAACAACTTCATTATTTCCACAACTGGTGACTGAGAGTTTGGCCTGAACCAGGTACAGCCCCCATGGGGAAATTTCCAAACCCCATATTCCCAGGCACAGGTCCCGTGGTGACATACTGAGGATGTTGCTGCTGTGGAAATGACATGGGCTGCTGCGGCATCCAGCCATTTGCTACTGGTGTCTGAACTGGTCCAAACAAGCTTGTGTTGGCATTGTGCATGTTCACTTGTGGAGGCATTTGCTGTTGTTTGAGTCGCATCTGCTGCATTTGCTGCTGAATCTGGGCAACCTGAACATTGGCAATAGGGAGTTTAAGCAAAACACAACGGGAGTAAGATTGAGATCAGGAATGAGAATAGGAACAGGAACGTCACTAAACAAGAGTTTTGTTGACCAGTCCAGTGGCTGTGCACGTGTGTTATGATTCTTGTACATTATTTCTTTGCCGTTTTTACTAAAACAAGGACCTGAAATGACCAAATTCTGCATAGTCTAGAGAATATGAACCACAACATCCAGTTTTTTTCTTTAATTTTGCTTTTCAATTTTTAATGCTAAGTTACATAATTATCATATTCAGTTTTGGGATAGCTCTGATAGTAATGGACACCAGAATGAGTCAACATTTTTGCACGCTTTGTAGGGTGAATATAAATTCACTTCTTTATCAATTTTGTCCTTGGTTTTGCAGTTGTGGTTGCTTAAACTAAGATAAGATAAGATAACATAAGATAGGGTAAGATAAGATAACTTTATTTATACACGGTTTTTCCATCAGTCAATTAAGTTACTGGACTATCTACCTATCTACCTAACTTCAGTAATGACAACTGATTAAGTATACTGCAAGAATGCCAAGATAGGAAAATCCTCGCCACATATAAGCACTAGGTAGCAGCTTTCATTTGAATGATCACAGACAGAAACCCCTTCTGTCACTCAACATTTCAAAGAATGTTCAACACAACTGTATACTTGCCTGTTGCTGTTGTTGTTGTTGTTGCTGCATGAACACCGGTTGACGGGGAGCCCCCATTCCCATAGGCATTCCCTGGGGAGGAACTCCAGCCATCCTGTTGAACATAGCAGGATGTTGGTTGGGGCCAGCCTGTTGCGGCTGCTGTTGCTGATGCTGTTGTGGGGAAATGTACATCCCACCTGGAACGCCATACATCTGAGGCTGACTGCCATGAGTTTTTGGTGCATACAATGCCATTATGCTGTCTGCAGGCAAAATAAATGAAAATATTGAAAATATGAATGTTACTGCAATTGAACTTTTCTTTATGGCTCTGAAACTTTTGACACCTCTTTAATTGTAACTCATCTGACAGTTCATTTGCCCCAAAGAGACTTCCATTATTCAGACACCTCCACAATAAATCATGGACATTCAGCTCGGACTCACTGGTGTTCGGTTAAACTGTACACATGTACAATTATCAGGCTCTACAAAACACTTCCAGTTTTCACTGGCTCCAAAATGGATAATCATGGAGTACAGAAACTTTAGATGAAACGCTTCCCCTCTTCTGCCTTAATAAAATGAGAAGGATTGTGGGTTACCCAACAATACAACACAGTGGCCCTGGCAACCGCTAGTAACCAAACTGCTTGATTCAGAGTGCAAAACACTGACCAAAATGTTGCCGAAGTTCCTTGCAATGTACTTTTTCTCATAAATGGCACTGGTTTTATACACTTCCTTGTTGCTACTCTCTCTTTCCTTCCTGGTCAATAATGTCAGTCCACATCTATTTATTCACACCACAATACACTGTACAAGAAAGCTGTGGGCATTTCTGCCAATTAGCATTTAGTTTTCTGTGATCAGAGACAAATTGATACTGGAGACATTAATCCTACCTTTAGTGGATTTGTTTGTTAATGAGTCATCCTTGAGAAGGGATTCCTCATTTGATTCTAGAGGCACTTGGTTGTTGAGCTGCTGCCAGTCAAAGTTGAACAACATTTTGAGCACTAAAGACACTTTGAGGAAATGCTTTAAAAATAGTTATTGTACAAAATTTCTTTGTTCAGACCCTTCAGATATCACATACATGTAGTCTTAAGCATATCAAAACCAAAAGGTGACAATGAAAGTGGTTGTGAAAGTAAAACAACATTCACAGCTTTTGCATCTAACTATTCTAACCTTGCACAAATGCATCATAACTCCCACTTGTGGACAAAAAAAAAGATGATTTAGAAATACATGTAAATGGCATTGGCATAGCATCAAACAGCATCTGAATTACCTGCTGTGGTTCACTAAAGCCAGTGTCAATAATTACGTTCTGTTGGAATGCCCCAAAATCAATCAGCTAAAATAAACATAAATCATGACACAAAAAACATGAATTGAGAACAATGAAATAAATGCATGAACAAATAAGGAGTGCTAGAGACACAGGTGATTAATGCCAACAAAAAAAGAAATGAATCAAAGAAAGGAACTATGCAATCCACAATTACTCTTTATAACTACTGCTCAAGACATCAGTGTCACATACAGTTCACACTCTTTTTATATAGTATATTATTTAATATTTTGGTATTAGCTTGTGGCAAAAATGTTTGGCAGAGATGAATGACAGGCTAAAGGCCAACATCAGATAGGCCTCGGTTTGAATTTCATTTTGCCTGGTATTTCTTTGTCATCTATTTCACAGACTTTGATAAAATGCTGCCCACAGAATACATCTGGAACAAAATTGCTGCACATTACATGTACATGTAGATTCTACTAAAGAGAGAAAATATTCAGAATGTACTAGTACTACCCTACTACTAGCACTACCCTCACACATAAACTGATAATAAATGTAATCGCATATTATATCCAGCCGATAGACAATTTTGAGACATTACCTCATTTTCTAAACCAGTTTTAGCAGGTTGAGAGGCAGGGGGCTGCGCCAGAGAGTTCAATAGTCCAGCAGTTGCTGATGTTGTTGGCACTGGTGCAGATACTGGGGCAGGTGCTGGAGTGTCTAAAGACAACAGATCAACCAGAGCAGCTGGTTTAGCTGGTTTAGCTGGCTCAGGTGCCTTGACTGCGGGAGGGTGGGAATGGGGGCGTGGTTGAGCAGTTGGGAGGAAGATCTGTAAAAAAGAGAAAATGCTGTCAGATGTCAGTTTAACAAACAGATTCCATGTCACCATACATCAATCCAGTAATAGATCACTGATGATATCAAGATGTGGAAAGAATGAGTGTGCCACTGATGTTCTTACCACATTCTGATGACTTCTGTGATCTATTAATGAACAGACATACCACAATATGGAATCTATATATTTTTTGTATCATAAAGAAACAAAAACAATGTTAATGACATCAGCTATATGTCTGTCCCTCAATAGATTAACCAATCAGGATGCAAGAAAAATTTGACTTATATTTTGTATGACAATTATGTGGTATACTTCACTCCTCTGTGAAAGTTAACTAACAAGGTAAATGCCTTCAGAGCCTAAGTCCCACATTAATTTGTCAAAACTACTAATAAAGTTCTGAAAGTAACAACCTTGCAAAATGAATTTTTCTTAAGTTCTCCAATGGTACTGTCATACGTTTAAATCCTGAGACTTACTTTCTTTTCAGCCTCAGTTCTAAGAGGGGTAATGGTGATGTCTTCTTCCTTCTTCTCTCGCTTTTTCTTCGGCTGTTGAAACAGAGAAAAATTATGACAGATTTAATACATACTCTTGAGATATTTAATTTTTCCAAATCATTTTAATTTTTGTAAAAAAAAATGATTTGGAAAACTGCTAGTCCACGTCTTGAATTTCAGTCCAAGCATCACTTGGAATAATCTGAACAGACACTACAATTGGATTTAAAATGAGTATGACATCTGCTGTCTATCTGGGAGCTTCCTCACATAACACTTGAGGCAAACATTTAATAAATGACCACTGAAATAAAATGACTTAACTTACTTCTGTCAGGTCTAAGGCACCATGTACATGTAGAAATTAGAAAATCTGTCATCTTAAGGTTTATAATAAGGCAATGCAGGGATTCCAGTCAACGCCAAGTAACTGGGAAACATCTTTGGCAGTTTACCACTCCTCTTATGGTGAAGATGGCTGAAATTGCTTTTTAAACAGAATTGAATCTCTCAAAGATCTGGTTCTAGTGCTCCCTGGCTGACTGTTTATTTCAAGGAGTCATCAAAATCGACCTCAAGCAGGGTGTTCATTAGGCATCGGGGATCAGAGAATTCTCCGGCTACTACGTAGAATTCTCCGGCTAAATTTCAAAGGCCTGTAGCCATTTTTTTATTTTTAAAAAATCATTCTCCTGTTACTTTACACTACTCTCCTGCTATTTCAAATATTAACGAAAACCCTGCTCAAGATTCGAATGCACTGGACATTCGCGGGAAAATTTTCCAGTCGATAGATTTTTTTTTAATTTTTACTGCAGTAAGATAATGAGTTACTTGTGTTAGAAATGCAAAAAAATTGTGGGTCACTGACTTCGTTTCAGGGATAAAGCTTGTGGAAAACTACCCTGATTTTGAAAAATTAGCACACGTAATTCAGCATGGTCTACAGGGGTTTATAGCTAAAAATATCGAAGGTGAGTCAATAGAGGCACACGATCTTAGTCATATTTTGTAGAAGTGGGTCTGTCACATAAATAATTCCAAATGTCACCAATGTTTTCCAAAACTTAACCCTTCAAGAGGCATTTGAAACTGTCGCACAGATAAACAAAGAGCTAAAAAGAACGGAATTTGATGGTGCATTTTCCAAAAAATTCAAACTTCTAGTCAATAGATTTTCTTCATTCTTTCGCTAAACATGGAAAATCGGTAGAGAAAATGATCCATAAAAAAAAAAAAATAGGGGGCACTGAACGTCCAAGATCATTAAATCCAGGCAAAGCTATAGCAATGGCCATCTGCCCTATCATTGTTCATTTCATCACTTAGCGTGCGCTCTCCGCACAGAAACAATTAGCGTGAACATCCTTAAGGCATGTGATCACCCTTTTAAATGGATTGAAAGTATTTAAATCAAAGTTCCTTACCTTGTCAATAGACTTTGTTTCCTTTGTGGCAGCAGTGCTTGTTAGCTTGCTTGGAGGTAATCCATCTTTCTTTAAATACTGTTTACGCTCATATTTGCCTCTGATAAATGCCTCCATGGCTCTGTTGGTAAAAAAAACAACACAAAAAGAAACAAAAACAGCGAGAGAAGCAAAAGGACAGTCATGTCAATCTACTCAAAAAAGGATGGATGTTTGTTCGTTTTTTTGTTCCACAAAGCGGCATAAAATGAAAATAGGAGAAATTTGCAATAAATCTTTTTCAAGAAACCTCAAAAAGATAAGAACTGATCTGTTGTAAGTCAAAAGACAACACTGGATTTACTATGAAAAAGCAACCTAACATTTTAGAGGGATTTTCAAATTGAACAAAATTATCTCAGTTTGTTACAGTGTCAGAAATGTTACCCAGGGTAACCAAACTCCCTCCATAAAATATCCCTTCCCTTGAAGGTCTGCTTTCTACCTGTCGATCATTAAATCAAATTTAATTCTCACTATATAAAATTGTATAGAACCATTGTGTATCCATACCAAGAGGCTGTAACTATAGACTAGGCAATTAATGTTTTTGGATTCTTCAACTACATGTATCTACAACACAGCACTTAAACAGCCATAACTTTGAGAAACGATAGTGAAACGTTATCAGACGATATTGACCGTCAGGTCGAATAATTTACCAACACTGAACGCCAACTAAATGGAATGTACATCTAACGCCTTCTGAGCCACGCATAATCACGTAAACGACTCAGACAACCAGAAATACCGTAAGAACAATATTAAAACATCTCCTGAAATTCAAAAAAACTGTAAAACGACCAGTCCTTTGTAATCACAGCTTGGTGCGTTACGGGAACTGTACTTGGAACATATTTTACGGTTGATGGCTGTGTTCATGTAATTTGTTCACATGTTCAATCAACAGAACTGGTGCACCATTTAGGATTGAAGAACGAATGACTATTTACAAGCTATATAGTGTAAAACTGATTAAATTAAACCTTAGAGAATTAGCCAAACAAGTGAGAAACAATGTGTGACAAACAAGGCACTAAATAGGCTACGCTAACGTGAAAGCACAGAGCTGTATTTGAGTTAACCGGTGTATTTGAATGGTACGAGTCGGTTTGAGGGCGACGGAAATCACTCGGAAGATTACATTCCCAAAACTCCGCAGCTCGCTTATTTCCCCATTGCTGGATACTCTGCATACCAAAGAAAGCAAAACCAGAGTGAGAAGAAAATCAAGACCGGGTTAATCAAAAAAACATACGTTACAACTTACTTCCATCTGCTCGGGAGTCCATGAATCAAGGTTCACGGATTTCACTCTTGAAATATGGACACCCAAGTTTCGATGTATCCCGGCACAGCGGATGCAAAGAAAAACACCCAGATTCCAGGAAGCCCATCGCGGCCCTGTAGTAGGAGAAGCAAGAAAAATCAGCCACCAGGAAGAAGGATTTTTCAGGAAAAAGAGCAAAATCTGTAACGGAAGACGAACGAAGACCATGAATTCCATGTTACCTTTAGCTCCACAATCCGCACAGTATCTATTCTCTTCCTCCTTTAGTAATTCCGATAAAATAGCCTGATTTGAGTTCTGTTTCTGCCCTTTGTCTTTCTGTGCTCTAGAAGACATAATCAAAGGCAATGGACGCCGTAAAACGCCACAATCTTCCGAGCGCCCACACAAACAAGATGGCCAACAAAGATGCCTTGCGTAAACCGGCGTTGAGCCCGCGAACATGCCGGCGTGGTCCTTACGTAATAATATTTTTGACGTCATCGTCGCTAGTTTCTATTTTCGTGCATCATCGACAACATCCGTTATCCGCTCTCTCAGGATGTCTCAGATGCGGAAGTCGAGAAAACAAGTTGTACGTGCGTGAAAAAATTGCTTCGGGGTGCGAGAGCTCTCCCGAGGAGAGTGAGTGGGGTGGGGGTGTTTGCGTTTTTCTTTAAATCCTCCATGCCTTATTTTAGATTAATGAATGACACAGTCGAACCTCCACTACAACCACCTCTCCACAACGGCCACCTTTTTTGGTCCCATGCAGGCAGTCCATATATTCACTCATATTTTTAACTCTCTACAACCGCAACGGTCACTAAAACTCGTCCCAACTGTCAAATACCTCTCGATAACGAACAGTTCATCAACAACGGCTGACGAAAGGTGTATACAAACTCCTCATCGTTTGTTGTAAAAGATCACCGAACTTGATCCGTACCGCGCGCGCAGTTAGTCTCCGTTTCTGTTTAGTTTCTGTTTTATTGATACATTTTGATTTACATATGCTAAAATAAGCATTTCTTAAGAAAAAGTGCTACACCCCCCCCAAAAAAGTAACCAGGTGTCATATNCCGTTGTGGAGAGGTTCGACTGTAAAAGTATTTCCAATGAAACAATAGTAGGGACCTTACGCATATACGACGGCGACGGCGTAAAAATTAAGTGTGTTTATATTTTACTTTGGAATTTCGCATTTACTTAGCTCTATTCAGTGTGTCTGTCGGTATTACATGTAACACTTGCCCTGCTGAAATTGCTACGAATGCGTTCAGTTCCAAATAGAAATACGAAAAGTTAGCCGCTTGTCATTTCACGTTGTTTCGCAGAGGACGGCAAAATGTACCAAGAATTATAACGCACGTGCACAGCCATTGTTCTGCCCATTAAACCTTTTGTTTGGTGACGTTCTCGTTGCCATTGCCGTCGTGTTTTGCGTGAGGTCCCTGATATCCAACCGAGACCAGAATAATATTTACTCTCTTTCAGGGTAACACACCCCGAAAAAGCAACGCACAAACGTATTTTTATCATGCCTAATTAGTTCCGTATGAGAAGAACCCTGACCGTGATTGGCTACAAGAGTGAGCACGTTGGAGCTACAACAGTCTCTTGTCTAGGACCAATTTACGAGCAAAGCCTATCAAAAGACGGTACTTCTTAGTTTTAGCAGATAGTTAGATCGAAAAAACCTTTTTGTCGGGGTGGGANTGGGAGAATACACCAAGTGGAATTCCAGCCTTGGATAACTTGATTGGTTTTACCTTAAAAAGAAAAAAAAGACAGATACTCTAAACGGTGCTGTAAAAGTTTCTCTCAGGTCGAAGGGCCATGTGCTAATTTTTAAGTAGTCAGGCATTAGTGACAAGAGCCAATAAATAGACCATATTCGTTTTCTCGGTATTAGACGGAAACTAGCTTACAACTGAGGCTAACGCGGGAAGTCTCTTCAAATGCAAATTTCATTAATCTCTCTTTAATTATATTTTTCGCACGAACCTCCATTGCAAGCTAGTTCTAGTCCAATACGGAGAATACGAGTAACCACGACTCGCTGCAGCATGGGAAATACAAATGACAAACAAGTAGCAAACGAATACCACACGAATCCATACGAGCAACGTACGAACTTATACGAATATGTACGAGTAACAAACGAATTCTTACGAATAAAATACGAACACTTATGAAAAACATACCAATACATTATTTTGCCGAGAAATGATGATGAAAGGTTATTTCACTTTGCTTATAATATATTTTTCGTAATATCTAACCTTGACCTTGGAAAGAAATTTTGCCCAACCCAACAAATCTTTCAAACTAAGACTTACCTTTGGAGTATCCTTGATCAGTGTAGGATGATTATAAAGGTTTGAATAAGTACCTGATGAATACAATTATTGGACAGGTATTATTACCACTACACTAACTACACTTTCAGATCTCATATATACTGAAAGCAAAATATTACAATTTTTGCCAACATATAGATCTATAAATAGCGATAAAATTTCTAGTTTCAAATTTGCTTCCAATTAGTATTTTCCTATTGACCTATATTTATCCACCTATCAAGAGCATAGAAATAAATGTAAACGAAAAGAAACTACACTATTTTATAAAAGTACTTTTATCAAGATTTCATATTATTTTGTCCCAGTTGGTGTTTGGCCCATTTACTGCTCCCTATGTTCGACACAGGAAATACCCTCCTGATCTATATACCATGTTATTTTTCTTCTCAGAGCATGTGTTACCAGCACAACACAAACTACATTGCAGAGCAGAAAAGAAAAAGTCACACTCAGAAGTAACAAAAGAACCTTAAAACAAGGAACTCTGTCACAAGAGCTGTGGCTTATTTACTGTCCCACAAGTGTAACGCAAAACCAGTGGAGAAATAACAGTGGCCTGCTGACTACTTGTGGATTCGTGGAGTAGTTAATGATTTACATGTATTAGTGGAGCAGACCATTATTTTTTTGAGGGGTTTGGGCAATTTCCAAAAATATTCCTGCTACAGCAAAAACGGCTGAAAAAGGAATCATACAAGGGAGCGATGGGGAAAAAATCGAGCAGTGCTTTCTACTATCCAGGTCCTATTTGTGATGTCAAAAATACCAATACATTCTTGCACAAGTTATTTCCCACCAAAAAACTCATGCACAAACTAAAGGTGAGGAGAAAAAAATTCAAGCCCAAGAAATTGCTCAACACCACCCCCACCCCCCTCCTCCTCCTCAAAAATTAATTGTGTGTCCCTTAGTGTTGGAGCTCGTGTAATTACTCTCTTATCAGGTTTCCATAATAAGCCCAATTCTCTGATGGGCCAAGGTCACCCACTGTTGCCTTAAAATACACAGCAGTAAGACAACAGCTTCACATTGAAATCCTGTTCCATCAAAACTCCATGGTGTTGTATTAAAAAGCCACCAAAAAATCCATAAAATTTCAACCTTTTGCTATTTGTAAACTGTTTCTCACCAAAAAATATTCTTCCTTACATACATGTAATTTTTAATTTTACAACAAGTCATAACTTTGTAAAAGAACTGAACTTTGTTTAATTAACCTTCTGATATTCCTTCCATCAAAACACTCACTTAAAATTGATTCACAGTCCCATTTTTCCTTAGGTTCTTCTGTGATTTTGATCAATTCATCTGGTGAGTTGTCACTGTCATCATCATTATCACACTTCATGCCAGCTTCACTCTCTTTCATCTTGGGCAAGCTAAGATACACGTTTAAAAATTCCATAAATAATCACAACATTGGTAAGGTGGACTGATTTCAAGTTAAATTTCACATGTAACAAAAGTGACAAGTGATAAACTAGCATTAGTGGTTTTTTGTAATGTAGATTTGTTGGGGCAGGAAGGCCTCTTGGTTAGTGTTCTGGACTTTCGATCGAGCAGCTAAGATTCAAGCCCTGGCCAGAGTCAATGTGTTGTGCTCTTGGGCAAGACAAATCACTCTCTGAGTGCCTCTCTCCACCCAGGTGTATAAATAGGTACAGACAAATTTAATGCTGGATACAACAGTACAATAGACTAGCTTCCGTTCCTTGGTGGGAGTGGAAACACTCCTAATCACTTGTACTAATAAACTGGAGGTACATGTAGAAATCAGATCAAACTAATCCAAAGCTTACTCTTGATTTTGTTGGCTTTCAATAAATTCGTCAGCTAATGCATTAAGTCGCTCACTGTCTGGGCCGACAGTCCCCTCTAATTCTTCATGGTCAAGTGCTCCAATTTCATCTTCATCGTACTCTTCCATTACCTAAGGATTCAAATTTACAGAAGGAGGTTGAGTGCAGTCCTAACTCCTAAGCACAGTGGTCACAAAAAAATGCATCACTACTTTTAATTATCATGTTAATACAACAGTAGCACATACCTTCTCAAATCTATCGTCAATAAGTTTCAGACCTAAACAAGGAAAAAAAGTAATATTGTCATGGTGGAAGAAAACATCTGAGTTAAAATGGCAAATTCCAGGGATTTCATTAATGATCGAGGACCAGGCAATTGACCAACTAAAAGAATGATTTTGCCTGCCTGGTTTGACTATCTAGAGGAAACTTTTTTCTATAAAAGACTACTAACTCTAAAATTAACAGGACATTAAACCAACTGGAACAAAGAAAATCTTTGATCTCAGGGGGATTTTCTTGTCCCAGTCAATCATTGAACAATTCGTGTTTCCTTTCCAGGTGCAATAGCTGCAGGGGATTTCACTATTGTTACACAGCACCTTCTCATATGTACAGCATAACACTCACGCTGGCTTTATATCGGTGTCATTTGCTTTCAGTCTTGCAAGTCTAATAAGCATAACATGATGACTTTATCTACTCACTGGAAAGCTGCAAAAAGTTTTATTTCTTGAAGCATAAAAATTATTTGCTTCTTGCTATTTCCAACCTTCATTCCTTCTCAGGACGGATGATGTCATGGAATAGTTTGTAAATCTTGACTTTGTTTCTTCTTCCTCAAAGAAAGACATTCCATCATCAGACTCTTCCGCTTCATCTGAAGGGAACATATCATCGTCCTCATCATCATCATCACTCCTGATTAAGTCGTCATCGCTGTAAATAATAAAATGATACGTGAATGATTATCAAGGTTTATTCAGCAGGTAGACCTGAACTAAAAAAACTAATTTCCTTTTTGAATTTAATCCAAAAGCTCAAGCAGCCATGTTCACACCACTTGGAAATATATTTATGCTACAAAAAGGCAAAAAAAGTGCTATTTCTGCCACATGGAGCTGAAAAGTAGGCATATGCATAGAAAGCTCAGTCTTTTCTACACTGCAGAAATGACAACAGTGTTACATCTGGCGAAGGGTTTATAACAAATAATATATTAAATAAGCAGTGTTTTTACCTTTCATATTCTGAGCCTTCTTTGTTTGCCTGTAAGATTGTTAAAGATCAACAAAAACAGTTTAATAACAAGTAAATATTTTCAAAGAAATATAACTAAATTTATATCTTTCAAAAATATCATTGTATTGCATAAAGAAACCAAAAGTGTGCATCCAGTTTCTGTAGCAGGAAGCGATTAAGAGTATTTGTTTAGCTACTCCCCTTCCCAACACAATGACCCTGGTCAGGGCTTGAACACAGACTGCTTCATCCAGTCAAGTCCAGCACACTAACCATGAGACCAGCATGCCTCCCAAGGCTTAACTGGTAAATGTACTATAATCCTTGCAAAATAGAAGGGATGGTGAATGGTAAATGCGAGTTTTCGCAAGAAGGCAAGGCTAGGTTTTTCTTTGCAAGCCCGAGACATTTTCACGTCTTCAATTGTGAGACCAATACTACACAAAGATTAAATTTTAATTGCGAGCTCAAGACATTCAGATTCTAAGATGTTCAGACATCAGTCATATTTAAAAAAAAACAAACAAACAAACCAACTGGTACTTTGAGACTTTCTAGCCTTGCTAAAAATCGAGACTGTGAGACAGCTTTGTGAAAAAATAGAGACTACAAGATGCACATAGCCACTTAAAAACA